ATTGTATTTTTTGGACTACACATAGTTTTACAAGTAGTGAAGGTCCAGTGGAAGGGATAAGTACCATGCGTACCATCCTGATGCCTGTTCTACTCAGCTTACCTGAAAATGACACATCTTTTATTTTGAGGTGGTTGCTATAGATTTTTTTTTGTGTGTGTGTGACAAAACCTTACTGTGCAGCACACTTTGGCCTTCAATTCATTGTGTAGTCAAGGCTGGCCTCAAACTCCTGCTCCTGTCACAGGCTTCTCAGTACTAGGATTTCAGGTGTGCACCCACCACTCGCACACCATATTTCTTTATGTTTTTTGCTTGTTTTTTGGGGTACTCAGGACCAAACACTTGTCAGGAAGGAGCTTTGCTCTTGGGCTGTATCCTTGTTCCTGTCTATGATTTTTTGAAGTTTTTTTTTTTGTTCCTTTTGGCAAGTTTGGTTTACCTTGCACATCTTATTTGAATAAGGATGCTGTTCTCATGTGTATTTTTAGTTTTGTGATATTGATGATGTGTTGTAATATCTCAAGTAAATGTGATTTTCTTTGGTACTGATCATACACGAATTTTGTTTTTCCATGCCATGTGTAAGACTGTTGTTTTGTAAAATCAACTTGGAAACATTTCATTTTACTTTGAAAAAGATACTACAGTATTGAAATAGAATTTCTATGGAAATGAGTAAGAAGATTAATCAAGTTAGATGGAAGTGAGAAAATGACATAAAGATGAAAATAAGTACTCTGTTTCTTTTTGGTGTTGTTTTGCAATTAAACTATATGTTTCTATGAGTATGTCTTATTTATTCAATCATAGGAGGGAAATTTATAATCAATAAAAAGCTCAACTTTTCACATACCACTTGACCCCACCCTTCCAGGCCTCTGTGTCCTCTAGAAGGTTTTGTATCAGTGGAGGAAATGTGAGTTCACTGTGGTGAGCAGAATCAAGCTACTCCATAAGATAAAGTCTGTGAGGACCACCTATGTTGAAAGGGAGGGACAGAGAGATGTCCTCAAGGACTTAGAAGGCAAGCAAGGGGTACTGCCTGTGGGGCTGTCATCTAGCAGAGCGCAGACACAAGTGTGTGCTTAGCCACAGAAGTTTGAGGCTTGGGATCAGTGTAGTGACCAGGTGGAGCTAAAGCTTAAAGCTCCTTAGGCGGCTCATTGTTTCTCTGAGTAGAAGTATTCCCCTGAAAAATAAATGCATTTTGATAGCACTGTGCTGGAACTTAGCTACCATATGTTGTTTAGTGCTGAGATGTGAATAGAGTTTTTGAGGAGGTACAATTTGAGTCTTGCATAGATAAAAGTATGAACAGGTCAACCTTCATGAACAGCACACATAGAGAAGTGCAGGATGTAAACCTGTGGGCTAGAAGGACAAATTCCTATGAAAGACTGAAGTTCCAATATGTGTGGTCATTCCACATCTTGGTTAGTGAATCTGGTGTTGTACGTTTTGTTCCAAGGGGGAGAACAGAGACCCAGAGTGTATTCTACTGTGGAAGATGACAATCTATAAGATGACAATCTATCTTTATAGATTGTAATCTTCTAATTTGCAACTCATTTTTGCATTTAAGATTACTTCCACTGGCTCAGAGGACCAGTATGTTATTCCATTGTGCCTGGATGGTCCAGTATGAGACAGCAAATTTGGACCTCCTGTCATGGGGACACTGAGGACCAGCCTTGCTATTTGTGCTTTTAGAGCTTAAGGTGATCATAAGGAATATCCTGAGTACATGACTCTCTCTGCAAGGATTCTCTTCATGGTGCCAGACAAAGCATTCCAAGCAAGGAAGTCAAATCCATGTTCAACACCTGTACAATTTTCAGTAAAGAAGAATCCCTGGGACCGGCTAAATAGCTCAGCAGATTAAAGCATCTGCAAGCAGGTGCAGTCGCTGGGGGTTTGATCCCAGGACCTGCTGTGCCAGCCCCTCCCCAGGGGCACTCAGAGATGACGATTGAGACTGGCTGTGTTGGTGCGCACCTGTAATCCCAGCTTTGGGAGGCTGTAAACAGGCAGAACACTATGAGTCTGATCTAGTAGTGAAACCCTGAACACACTATAGAACCTTCCCTAAAATAGAAAAAAAAAGGAGCAATCTCTGTTTTTCAGTTATGTACACATGGCTGACTTGTCTTTGTGAAGAGTGGTGTCACTGGGGATCCAGCAGTGGTCCTTGTCCCTGGCAGGTTATTCATGTGGCAGCAGCAGTAGCTGGATAAGCCGGGATGACTGGGGTGCCGTGCCGTGACCTCATACGGAGTGCGCGTTCCTTCCCGTGTGGCTACTCAACACATCAGGATGCTGAACAGCACTGTTGTCAGTAACAGAGGCTGGCAGATACCAACCAGGTGGGCCATTCGGTCTTATTTGTTCGGTGCTTCTTTGGTCATGATTGCTATTGTGAACATTAAAACGCAGCACAAATTTCTTCAATGTGTATCTTTTCCAATATGCTCAGCAATATACCTCTTCCCGCGATTCTGCTTGACTTCGTATTCCAGTGTTTCATTCTGGATCCATGTAAAGCTACCCAGTGCATTTCTACTGCATCACTTCATATGAATGCTTACTTTCAGTCCCATTATTGGTACATATAATATAAATGATGTTTTCCTTTTGCCAATATAGTCCTGCCAGGAGAATTTCTGCCCACCGATGTGTTTGTTACCCACACTTGACTGAGATGGTGTTATAAGAAGAAGCGGGGCTGGGGAGATGGCTCAGTGGAATAAGTTTTTCCCTGGCAAGCGCAAGGGCCTGAGTTCAATCCCTGGTTTAAAAAAAAAAGAAGAAGCTGTTTTAGCTGGCACCCAAACTACATCCTGCCCCTCTGTTGTGATTAGCATAAGTGCACAAGCTGTGCGGGTCCAGCCCTCGTAGAGGGAATCAAGGAAGATGAAATGAAAAGAAAGAAAGACAGGGATGGGAGGTCTAGACTGCTGTTCCCTCAATTAGTTTATTTTGCTTAAAGCTTATATATAGAAATATCTTGTTCTTGTGCCCAGCATTTTTCCAAGGTAACTCAAAGCTTTCTTATTATTGTGGTACCAGAATTATTTCCCAAAACTAAACTGACAAATAGAAGAAACACTGACTCCACTGTTGGGCCCATTACTCAAACTGCGGAATAAGGAAGCTGGCCACGTTGCTACATTTTATTTTATATCAGACTGTTTCTTCAGCAAGATCAAACTAATTGCAGGGTCTGGTTATCCAACATCTCCTTGTCTTGTTTCTTTTAATTGCTGTTTGTAGAAGGCAACACAGAGCTTATGTAACTGCCCTTGGACCCATCCAGTGATTACTGGCAGAATTCACAGCAGAAGCAGTAAGACAGCCAGAGGGATCATCATAGCCGAGAATAAACCATGCAGGGAAAACATTTTGAACCTTTTAAAAAATATTTAACTCCAAAGCAGAAGCATCAGAGGTGGAAAAAGGAGCAGAAATTATAACCACAATTTCTTTATGTAATTGAGTTAAGTGAAAACCCACAAAAGAATGGATCCACACTCCCATGATGTGGCCTGGATCATTTTCCATTTGTAGCCAGCATTATTGTACAAAGAAGGGGTTACACAGATGTATCAATATGCCCCTTGACAGTGCACTCACAAGTTAAGCCACAAAACTTGTACCTGCTTTCCTAAATATAACACAGCTTCTTCTTAGGGGTCCACCCTGGCCTCTAGCTTTTGATCTGCAGTTCCTGATCCATAAGCACTAAGGATATATTATGTGCTAAATCATTTACAGGTTGGGCAGTTTGTAGTTCCTGAACCAAGGCACTGGCTGATGCAGCCATTGCTCCGAGGATTCCAACCACAACACTTATACCCAACAGTCCCACAGAGTAGTTGGATCTGGATAGAGCCTTATCTAATTCTGCTACTACATACAGAGAAGAGTTTTCACACCAGGATTCTTTAAGGGTGACAGGGTGACAATATAGGGACACTGTTCAAGCAGTAAAACAGTAGTTCCTGGGCGATGAGGCTGAGCAGCAGTACAGAATTGGAGTGAGTCATGCTTATGCTCAGGAGGGAAGAACTTTTCATATTCGGGATCATTATTTCCACCTTTCAGAGCTGATGTAGATTCAGCATGCTCTTGAGTGTTTCTACCAAATGTGTGTGTGGACTTTGCATCACTAGAAACTCAAAGTGTATATAGTGTCCGTGGACGGTACCCTACTACAGAGTACAGGTGCACATGTATTAGTTTCTCTTTCTAATTTTTTAAAGAAAACAAAGTTGTAAATGAGGGATCTGGGAGATGGCTCAGTAGAATAAGCACTTGCCTGGCAAGTTCAAGGGCCTGAGTTCAATCCCCGGTTCCATCAAAAAAAAAAAAAGTAAATAAAGCATTAGCAAAGACACAAAATTTCAAAATTTCACTAAACAAAGTATTGGAATTCAGCCATGTTTGCTGTAATGCATAATGTTAACTTCAAATTAGTTTTTTTTTAGGTTACCAGATGTAAACGTGCAAAACTGGTTAAAGAAAAGCACAAAATGAATAACACCAATCAGAAACTTATAAGAAATAAAGAGCAAAAAATAAAAAGAAAATAAATTGACCATTACTCCTTTCAGAAGACCAGCAGAAATTGTGCTAAGATACATGATTCTTTAAACATATTTGCCCATGGGTGGAGGTGCACTGCAGATGCTTATTTGATTAAAGTAGACCAGCAATGACTCTGCATGATTCAGCTCGAACTTGCTATTCAAATTCTGGTGCATGACTTACATT